AACCATTACATATTTTATTTCATTAATCCACAGATGTATTAATCTTATTATAACAATTTCCAATCTCAAAACAATCCTAGCTTTTATAACTTTTTTTAAATTTTGAGAAGCCTGTATAATTTCTCTAAAGAAATAATAAAATATCAATTTGTTGGGTTATTTTCACATAAAGAGGTTCAGAAAAAAATTCAAATTTTTCAAAGGCAATTATAAAGGTGATGGGATGTACTTTCCACTGTGTGATATGTGACATCAGAAGGATGTCTGTTCGTTTGTCCTCCTGTGATATCAGGAGAACATTTTTCCTTTTGTGGGCAAACATTGCCCACATTGTCTGGGCAAAGTTTGCTTGTTGCTTCTGCTATATAATTTCTTCTAGTTTCATTCAGTGAATACCATCACAATAATATTTTATAAATATTTAAAAAGACATTTTAGGGCTGAGGTTGTGGCTCAGCGGTAGAGCGCTCGCCTAGCACGTGCGAGGCCCTAGGCTCGATCCTCAGCACCACATAAAAATAAATAAACAAAATAAAGTTTTTGTGTACAACTAAAAAAATAAATATTTTTTTTAAAAAAGACATTTTATAAATCATCATGGCTTCACAATGATTTCTCCAATTCCAATTTAGCATAATAAGATTCCTCTATTTCTGCTTTTTCATATGTTTACTTTCTTATTGCCACAGTGAAAATTTGGTTCCTGACAATACCACTGCATTTAACTAACTCATGTATTCTACCTTAAAATGTAAGAAAAATAATTATAGAAATCTTTACTGGTAATACTACCAAAAATTATGTAAAAATCATGGTTAGTTGTTCTAGTAAGAGCATACGTCTAACATTAATTCATTTTTCATGTGATAGTGAGATTTTCTTGTAATTCTATATATATATGGGTTAATTCTGTTCATTTTTCTAGTCAATTTAATGTTTTTTATTCTTTATCCTTTTAATTTGATTTGATTTTCAACTAGTACATTGTGAGCATACTTACATGTCTTCTACTCAAGATTAACACAAAGTTAACTTTTTTGCATACAGAAGATCAACAGAGGTTAGAGTAATCCCGTGATAGAATGTACACAGTGACAAATGACTATAACTGTATTCCATATAACAGAACTTCCACATAGAGTGAGAAAACACAATTGAATTAAGTAACTTTGGAAAGTTACAAACAGATCCACTGAATATGAACACTGTTCTCTAGTTAGTAAATTTGTTTCTCAACAGGGATACAAGTCAGCAAACCTGAAACTACTTTAAATGTATTCCTAGGATTGATTAGATAAGCAAATGTACTGTGGATAATGGAAGCTAGTTTTCTATCTGTGAGACAAAGAGTTTACAAGAAATCAAGAGTGGGATGCTAGAATGAATTATGCAGCACTGGATTAGAGTCAGAGATACCAGTAGGAATTACTGGTTGAACTAGTTATGTGCACATGTATACTCATATCTTTATTATTCTGTGAAAGGGCCTAGAATCAGTGGGCTGCAGCGGCAACAAACATATCTAGTGCACAGTCTCAATTTCTCAATACCATTCTCCCATAACAGGAGCCAGAGTCTCTGGGATATATCTCTAAGTCTAGGATAGAAACATGTTGTACTATTCCAGGACATAAAATCAAGGATAACAGGTGCTGATCTTATCTCCTGTTGGTTATGATGTCTGGGCATATATACACATAGACACACACACACAAAAAAATGGAGATTTTTCTCCTTTCTTTCACACATATTTGTTAAATTTTATAACAGTACCAAGGCATGAATATTTATTTAATCCTTATGAATATCATATATTATCATTATTTATTTTAATGATCAGATTATTTCAGCATTATACATCTGGGGTCCCTGCAGAATGACCACTGTGACCTTTGCTATGCTGTGGTCTTGGGCAGTAAAAAAAAAGGGGGGGGGGTCATCCAGGCCAGGAATATTTCTCTAAAAGGGTCATCTCTAAAAGGACCACAGAACGAGGAAAAATTTCCACTTTAGCATCGTTCAGGTGAACACTAATTAGTACCTAGGAAGCTTGTTTTTCCTGACAATGAGATAAAAAGTACTTTAAAGAAGTGATAATAGAGGAAGCAGAGAAGGGAAACTGGCCACTTCCCTTGTCTCCAATCTTAAGATGAGGATCAAAGCAGAAAAACCTTGGTGGTCAAGTAAAACAAACAAACAAACAACCTCAATATTTGAAGAAATCCATCCGTGCAGTTTACATGCAACCTACCCTGTGTATTTTGTAGGTCCAGGTAGCCCTCCATTTTGCCCTGACCTGCCACTGCTGAGGAGCACATAAGTAATAAAATATCCAAACCCTCTCTGTTGAGTGTTCTAACTTTTTGTTTTACATAATGGTAAACTGTATGCTGGAGATTTTGGAAGCTCTGGGCTGAACAATTGGTCTAGTCAGCAAGATTCTAAAAAGAAAATGTTGATTCTGAAGTGGGGAAGGACACATGGTGTGCAAGGGATTACCCCACACCGGCCATAAGCCTTGATGTGATTTGAGGTGGCTTCTGTATTAGAGAAGTGGATGCCACTCTGTGAGTACAGGGCACCTCCAAAATGCAAAGAGGGAGGTTCCAAATGTTGGAAGCAGCATCCAAAGTAAACAGGTAAAAGCAAATGGAAACAAAGAATTTCACTGTAGTGTTGACAAGGCCCCTGATGTATGCATTAAAATTAACACAGACTGAGACTTAACTACTTAGGCTTAGCTCTGCAGAGTACAGAAAGAGTTAAAACTAGAAAGAAAATTCTGTTTTGTGCAGATTAACAACAAGGATATACTGCCATGATGTTTAGAACTTACAGAAAAATGCCTACGGTTTACAGCATGACATTGTGATAAACTGTGGGTATATTTTGGGCCCAGAGCTCATGCTAGGGTGTTGGTGACTAGTGGAAACTGGGATCCTCAGATGTGGGACTCACACAGAGAATCCATCCACACCAATGACTCAGAAGTTGAGCAAGAAGGTGAAACTACAATGGAAGCCAGATCTGTAATCGGTCCCAAAGTTAAAGACCCAGCAGTAACCTGAGGGGATTCATCCAAATCTGCTCCTGACTCCAGAAGCATATTTGCATTGTATCATGAGACTATATATCCTGATGGAAATGGTGTAACTGGGCCCAAGTTCAGACAGAAAAGGAAAGAAAGTAGTCCAGCAAGACTGCCCAACTTGTGGGATGCTGGTGCAGATGGCATAATGTTCAATTATACAAAATTATCTGAAATGACTTCTGTGACTGCCAATCCTGCTTTATTCCAGTGCTGCTGATGAAAATGTGGGATCATTATTTGCTTGGTCGCTTCATTGGGCACTTACAATATGTAGCCAAATTCAGAAGATGTCCCTATGTCCAGAGGCATTATAGCCTTCGTGAAAGAATTACAGGTCTTTTTGTAGGAAGTGGGAATGAAATAAGCTATTTATGTATAACCTTTCCCAGATCCAGACTGTATGACTTTCACTGATGGAATGAAGGATACAATGTTACCCATATCCCCTCCATCTATTTGTGGTGCCCTGTGTCAAAATTACCACCATTAATAGGATATCCAATCTAGAAAGAAGAATAAATATTAGCGGCTCTAGGGGAGATTGTGGCAGAAAATCGGAGTCTGTAAAACCCAGTCCAAACTGGAAGGACCTCTTCCAGTGGTTTGTACATGGTTGTGAGTGAACTTAATCATAGCAGGAGTGGAAGCAAGGAAACTAGGTAAGCATCTAATGCCACCTTTTGTATGCATATAGAAGCAATTGCTAGTGGTCAAAAGATTTTAGCTATTCTCTCTCAATAAGGAGAGAGAGAGAGAGAGAGAGAGAGAGAGAATGTGTGTGTGTGTGTGTGTGTGTGTGTGTGAGTGAGAGAGAGAGAGAGAGAGAGAGAGAGAGAGAGAGAGGTAAAATGGAGTTCTACCCCAAAAGGAAATAAAGATAAACCTCTCTTATTAGGAAATGTCATGAAAGAAGAGACCACAGCTTCCTTGGAAGAGAATTTGGGCTCTGGGTTGTGGGAAGACTACTAGGGAGTAGAGGTTCAAGGATCTCAGCCATGTCTCTGGACAAGAGGCCATATATATAATTGGTAATACATTGGTCTTTAAAAACTATTCATAGAATAATAGCACTGGTAGACATGGGATCTGAATGAGTCTTGACATGTTGTAGTTCTGACAAATTCTCAGGTAGATTAAATGCTATTTATGGATATGAAGTAAAAACGATGATAATACAAGCAATGATACTCATGCTGCAGCTTGGTGCCCTGACATTTACCTCCCACCCAGTGTTCATAACTCTCATTCTTGAATACATTATAATAGTGTATGGGATAAATCTCTACAAACTATAATAGGAGAGTTCTGTCTACATTGGCAGGAGATTAAGCATATGTCAATAAAGACAATATTAAGAGGGCATACTAAACAAGATTCAGTCATTTTGCTTGAGTGCAGACAGCTGCCACCCAACAATATCAGTTCCCTGTTGGACATCAAAAGATAACAGAAACCATTCATGAATTGGCTAAGGTAAATTTAATTTGTCCAATTAAATACAATTTGTCCTTTCAACTCACCTCTGTGGCCAGTGAGAAAGCTGGATGAAACTTGGTGTGTGACAGGGGATTAGAGAGAATTAAATAAGGTGATCCCTCCACGTCACGCAACCACTCCTAACATAATCACCATTCTAGAAGTTCTTAGTGTTCAATTGGGATCATATTACTATGTGTTGAACCTTTCTAACATGTTTTATTTTAGAATACATATAGCTACTGAGAATCAAGAACTATTTGCCTTCATTCAGGTGGGAAGAATTACAACAGACATTAACCATGCTACCTCAAAGATATCCCTATAGTCCTACTGTGTGTCAATAATAAAGTACCACAATATTTAGAAACCTGGCCCCAACTTTTCCTGATAAAAACCTTTCATTATGTTAATACTTCTGAATCTTTTTCAGTACTCTCCAAGGCTGTACCCATGCTTTTAAACCATTTGCAAAGGAGAAGATGGACCATGAACTTCAACAAAGTGCAAGGCTCTTGCTTATCAGTGAAATTCGTGGGTGTTGTCTATTTGAGTAAGACAAAGTTTACACCTCATGCTGTAATATATAAAGTCACATATTTTCACTTCCCAACATAGTAGAACAAGTACAATGACTTCTGGGAATACTGTGTTATTGGAGGGCTTTCATCCCTCATCTAGCTTAGTTATGAAACTTCTATGTAATTTGAATAGGATGAATAATTATGGGACTAGCTTGAGCAATGTATTGCAGCATTTAATCAGGGCAAATAACAGTAAAAAAGGCACAAAGCCTTGGGATACTAAACACATTAAAACCTGCTGAGCTTACCATCTATGTCACTCCAGACAAGTATGGATGGAATTTATAGCAGCAAATTAAAATACATCACACCCCCCTTTGATTTTAGTCACAGAGAAGGGAACAGAGGAGCTTTATAGATTGTTGGAAAAATGACTATGTGCTACTTAGGCTGCCCTTCTTTCTGCAGAGCTCATCACAAGAGAACCACCAGTCATGGGCATGTAGCCAGCAAAAATAAGGTAACTGGAGAGAGGCCCAGTAGAGGAAATTGCCACTTGACTACATCGTGGATTAAATCATGCAGGACAAAAACCTATGTGGGCAACTGTGACCTGATGAAGACTACCCATAAAGATGTCAAATATTGCTGCAAGCCAGAAACATCTTACCTGCTCTCAATGCTACCCAAGGACCACTGGATGTCACATAGGGACATATGAAAGGAGGCTATATCTCTCTTCAGTGATGGAAGATTGACTGTATTGACCCTCACCCATTATCAAAAGTGGCTGAGTATGCTTTGACTTGGGTGAATACAATTATGAGCTTAATGCAAGACTTCTTTGGCAGACAGTCAATCAAAGGGTCCTTATTAAAGGGCTGATCTGACTGAGTGCTCTGTATGGCACACCACAGGTAATTGAGAGTAAACAAGGAATTCATTTCACAGGCCATGAAATACACCATGCGCTCAAGATCAGAACATATTATAGATTATCCACCTGCCATACAATCCAACAGGAACTGGATTAATTGAAAGAATAAATGACCTGTTGAAGTAAGCCTTAAATAATGAGAATAACTCTATGCTGGCCCGAGACACTTAGAACATCCAGTGAGAAACCCAGACATCAGCAGCCTGCAGCTTGCAGACATTTCTATGGCAGCAGGCCCATTACCACCAGCATTAAGATTACAAATAAAGGACACAGCTACTGGACAATTCTTAAGCCAGCCTGGGGCACCCAGGTAACAACTTCCTCTTGCCAGTTTTTCAAGATATCACATCCAGTACTGGAAGCATTATTTGGTCAAGGACTGTACAAGTAAATAAATTCCCAGTATTTTGATGTACTGACTCCTAAATATGAGGGAGAACATCTAAATTTATAAGTAAAGCCAAGTGTGTTGGGAATTTGGCCCTCAAAATTTCAGGTGTTATCCTCTGGTATCATCACCCAAGGGCCACTTCCTGTCAATTTATGACAGTATATATTCCAGAAGTGTCTTCCTCTTTCTATACACTTAAGTGAATATTGGTCTGTTATACCAGTCCAGGCAAGGCTACTATAGAAGCTACTTTACTAACACTAGATTATACAGTAACTTGTACTGACTCTGGGAGCTGATTTGGCATTATAGGTCCCTGTCAAAACATTTTCCATATTTTCCATAGGTTAGCAATATGTAGCCTTTTTCAGGACTGGGGAATGATGGTTGCATATCATGCTAACCAGACTGACCACTGGATTTGCTCAGAACTCCCTATGACTGCAGCACAAGGATTTGCTGGGCCCAACCTGCAAATGAGACAGAATGAACTTGCTAACATAATTACCTTAGCATGCCTGTTGATAGGCTCTTGCTCTTTGTGGTGCTGTTGTGAGATATGTACGTAATTTGCCTCTGCAACATTGTCATTAGCGTTTCACAGAAGGTTTGAAGTTATTTAAGATTGTTAGGGACATTAAGGAGCTTCCAAGCCACTGAATGGATAGAGTGCTGGGATAAAACATGAATTGGCACCTAAGAAGCTTGTCATTTCAGATGCCAAATAGTGAGAGTAAAAGGACTCCAAAAAATGTGATAATAAAGAAAATGGAGAAGGGGAACTGGTCACTTACCTTATCTCCAGTCTTTAGATGGGTATCAAAGCAGAGAAACCGTAGTTATAAAGTGAAAATAAAAAGAAGAAAAATAAAAAAAAAAAACATCCATAAAACATATGAAATGTGAAGAAATCCATCTGCACAGTGAGCATGCTACTACCCTGTATATTCCCCTAATTTGTGGGTCAGGGTGGCCCTCCATTTTGTCCCTGCATGTGAGTAATAAAATTTCTAAACCCTGTCCGTTGTGTCCTGCAAGATTTCGTTTTGTTTTGTTTTGGTGGGGGTTTTTTGCAGTCCTGGGGTTGAACAAATATGCACTACTTCAGGAATAACACCGATGAAAAACTAACACCTTTTCCTGTAACTTTAAATCTAAATCAATTTTAACATTGCTTATGTAACTGGTAAAAATTAGAGCAAATGTATCAAATATTTTTTGGTAGCATTTGTTGTAGTTTTATGGAAGAGAAACACACAAATAAAGTCTGTCAATAATGGGAAATTACCAGAATGAAAATGATGAACATCTGCTCCGATATAAAAAAACTTATATTCTACTCAAAATAATTTTATTTCTTAACTTATATAAAGATACAAGATTAGAATAAATGTTCACTGGTAAAACTCCAAATTCCATAAAAGCCAGTTTATTTCATTTTAAACCAGGGGGATGAAAAATTTGAAATATAACATTGCCTGGAAAATAGGGCTGCTAGTGATGATACTACATATATCTATAAAACAAAATTCAGGAAAAAAACTCCACATTTTTGAAGTTTGTAATATATTCAGGAACAAAAATATCCTCATTGCAACATGCAGTACATTTCCTGAAGGATGAACCTTTGAAAAACACACCCAATTATTCTCCTTAAGTAAAATATCTGCTAAACTTGTTATCCAAAACCAGTTCTTTAAAAAATATTTTTCAAACTACAGACACAATGTTTGAACTTCTAATTTTTTAATTGCAAAATGTAACATGAGTCCTGTGAGGCCTTTCTTATTCAAGAATAATATACTAAACTTCTAAAAATTGGATACACTTGAAACCATAATTGAGGGGAAAAAAGCTTTGTATCTTAAAAGCTCTTAGAATAATTCTCAATTACTTACAACTCTATGTCACTAGGCAAAAACACTCATGATATTTATGATCACTGTGCCATATTATTTAAGAGTGTTACCACCTAAATACATGTAAGACATTATACCACAGTATAAATAGTTACTGTCTAATGTGTATGAAATAGATAAATATGATTTTTTTGGTATTTTTGCCAGTATTGTGTTGTGCAATGTTGGTCATATTCTTCTGAGACAAAATTTTTCCTTTGCCATATAAGATCAATTACATACAAATATAGAATGAAATGGACTGAAAATAAAATGTATAGAATAGAAGAGAATAGAATATAAACTTGAATTATTGAACTCTTCTCAGTTTTTGGCTTATATGAACATTGGGGATACCATATCTGTAAAAGAACTATTCTGATGCTTATTATCAGCCATTACTCTGGAATAGTGAATAATTTCTAGGAGTGGAGTTATTGGGTATAATAAGTGAAATTATGTTGAAATGCCATACTGTTTTCTAAGGTACTTATTCCTGCCATCAATTGCAAATCCTGACTACTTTATGTTTCTGCTAATAGTTGATATTAGCAGAGTTTTATTTGTCTTATGCTTTTCCTTTAAAATAAAGATGGAATTCTGTCATAATTCTGCAAAATTAGCAAACCTGAGGAGTTTATGGGAAACCTGAATTTATGGTCAAAATTGTTTGTGTCTTGAAAATTCATTTATGCAGTTAGCATCTGAAATACAGGCAGTTTGGGTGAGTACTATGTCTATTAATATATGCTATTATGGTTTAGGTGTCAGGTGTCCTCCAAAAGGTCATATATGAGAAAATGCAAGAAAATTCAGAGTTGAAATGATTGGGTTACCAAAACCTTAGCCAATCAGTGAATTAATTAATCCCTGATGGGTATTAACTGAGAGGTAACTATAGTTAGATAGGGTATAACTAGAAAAGGTAGATCATTATAGGCATGTCTTTAGGGTATGTATATATTTGGTGAACTGAGCTTAGTCTCCCTCTCTGCTTTCTGATCATCATGTGAGATGCTTCCCTCCACTACACACAACCACCATGACATTCTGTCTCACCCCAAGTACTGAGGAATAGGGCTGGCTGTTTATAGACTAAGATCTCTGAAACCTTGAACCCCTAAATAAACTTTTCCTCCCCTAAAATTGTTCTTGTCAGGTATGGTAGCCACAGCAGTGAAAAGGCTGATTAAAACATATGGAGTCTGTACTAACTCCAGGTGGAGAATACCAGAATTGTTTCACACTACACTCACATGTATATTTTTAACAGAATAATGATCTCTAATAATGGTTCAATAATCTCCATATCTGAAAGACTAAAACACATGGTCACTTAGAACAAATGGAAGTCAATATAAGATATCTGGGATGAGTGTTGTAATTAAATTATTAAACATGTTCAAGATGAGGATGCAATTATAAACATATCTGTGTTACATTTCTGAGGGACTTTTTCTATTTCTGGGGCCATTTCACATGATTTTTATTCAAGGAATCTTTCAGATTCTTTTCATAAAACTCCCTCCTCAAGATTCCTCTTTGATGGGGTTAGAGTTGTGGCTCACTGGTAGAATGCTTGCCTAGCATGTGTGAGGCACTGAGTCTGACCCTTAGTACCACATTAAAAAAATACAAACAAATAAAGTTATAAAAAATAATGTTTATAAAAAAAGATTCCCCACTTAAATTACTGTTTGTAACCCCAGTCCAATATGAATCAATATCTTGATTATCCCAAATCATGATGATTTAAAAACAATCTTATTGATTGATTAAAGCCTTTTCATGATTCCCAGTGACTTTAAGAGACATTAAAAGCACCATCATGTGACTTAAAAGATTCTCCATAATTTGGACGTGTTTATTCTAGTCTCATCTTTGCATACTTCTTTAAACTATAATGTTGCTACATTGAATTTAAATTCCTCAAATCACCCACTATCTCACTTGTTGTGCTTTATCTGCTTGAGATGTTTTCATACACTCATTTTCTTTAGATACAAATGCACAGAGAAGCTGGAGAATACTTGATTTTAATTTATAGATAAATAGGTAACTTAAATAGATAATTAACTTCATTCCGTAACTCAATTGCCTAAAGGTCTTGGGTTTTGAATAACATATACAATTAGCAAATTAAGCCAGACACTTCCTATAAATTTTAATTTTCTGTGGCTCTTTGTTTCAAGAATGCATTAAATGAGTAAATACCTAAAATTTGAGAAAATGTGTTTCAATGTTGTCTGAAAGTGTATCAAATCATTGCTGTGATTTGAATTGTTACTATCAAGAAAAAATTATCTCTAAGTTGTTAGTCAACTCTTTTACAGACTATTATCCTGGGTGTGTGTGTGCATATGTGTGTGGTGTGTGTGTGTGTGTGTGTAAGAGTGGAATAAGTGTCCTCCAGGTGGCATGATGGGTAGAGGGATTTGCTGTCTTTTTTTTTCTGAGCATTAAAGCCCTGGATATCCCCGTGGCTATGCATGAGGAAGGTATCCCTGTGGCTATGTGTGAAGTTTAAAAGCTTTATTCTTGTTTTGTGAAAGTTTCTTTTAGCATAGCAACATTCAGAGATGAATCTAAAAGCGAAATAACTTTTAAGCTTGGAGTTCTGCTATGAAGATTACTTTCTTTGGTAAAAAGAATCCCAAATAGTGTCTGAAAACAGGTCTCCATGGGCACATTTTATAATTTGAAAGTCTTTTTCCCCCCTTTTCCTTAGAAAGACTGTTTAGAAGCCTAAATAACAAACTTTAGTGAAAGAGAAAAAGAGCTCACCAACTTTGAAAAGTAGGAAAACTATCTTGCATGGCCTCCTTCCTGTCTTCAACTCAGCTGCCAGCATGTCAGCCACACTGCCTATGACAAAACTACATATTCCTCTACTCCAATTTTATTACACACGTATATTAGTTTGTCATGTCAATTTGATACTCTTTGAGGCTTTCACATTCAATATGCATTGGGTGCACTTTTCTTCTTTACTAAGTTTGACACCTTTTATTACCACTTCAGATTCTCTTGGTCTTACTGACCTTTCTCTTATTCAGCCTTTGTGAAGTTTTCAACCAGATTTAAATTACCTTTCCCTGTTTCCATGCTGAAGAATATCTTGTGTCACATCTCCAGCCATCTCGATTGATGTGAAATGCTATAGCAGCCTATTTTGTATCTATATATGCACAGCCCAGAGATAGAAGTGAGTTAACCATTCATGGGCTAACCTTGAGCAATGGGGAATGTGTCTCCATCCACCACATTTTTAAGATATATTATACAATGCTTCTTTGATGGTTCTAAAGGACCAGATGCCTAGTTGTCTCCAGGGAAAGCCAAATCAATGGGTCATGATTACAATGGCTTTCTTTCTTTCTCCATGGTTTTATTTCATTGCTCCAGGATGACATCACTGCTTAGCCATAACCAATACTTTTACATGCATTTATTTCAGGCTTTTACTTCCAGGAAAGAAAATTAAAATCCTCACCATCATATATAATATGTCTTCAAATATTTTCAGGTTTTTAATATATTCACCATATTTTATATTCTGTTTTAATTCTCAAGTAAACTGCAGAGCTATCCTATCGTATTCCCACTGATACAACTTCTATCAGAAATTTAGTTTAAAGCATCATCATTTCTCACAATAGTCACCTGTTTTCCTTTACAAATTCCCCAATCCTTTGCCTCACCGTAAATGTTTACTGATCAACATCTTAAATATTTACCATGGAATACATTCTCAGACCTTCCCAAAACTCATCAATGGCTACTTCTCTAGACTGATCTCCTCACATATATGTACTATTCTCCGACACATATTCTATTTGCAGACAGTAATGCTTGCAGCATTTGTTTACACTTCTGTACCTGTACATGTGGAAACACCACATCCTGTCTAGTTCATCTGTCATCCTCAAAATACACTCAAGTGCTACTTGTTCTGAAAAAAAAAATTGCTCAATTTCCTCACCTGATAGCAAATTTAATCATTCCTTTTTCCATACTATCCTATATCTCATTCTTCATTTGTTATGTTACACTTCATTTTTTTTCTTCCTTCAAATATTTGGGGAATTAAATTAGGTTATGTTCACTAGGAAAAGGTTCTTTATACTTTTATTAGTATATTACTATGAT